TCGAAAATAAGGTGGGCCGAACACATGATGCGCTTCAACGACAACCGATAGACGAGAGCCGTTACCGACTGGATTCCTCGGGATGTCAAGTGCTCTACAGAAAGACCACCGACCCGTTGGTCGATTTCTTCACGAAAGCGATAGAAGAAAGATATGATGCTCAGCGAATCCCTAGAGCGATGAGGACCCACTGGACTACTCTTGCACGCGTTAGGGAAAAATGGAAGAGTTGCTGTGGTACCCGCTCGAGTCACTCGACGATCAACGGGACGACAGGTGATACAGGTAATGTCGTTGAAGCGTTGTTGTATGATTATAACGGGCACTGATATACTCTTTTGTTATTAATGTTTATTTTGAGTTTTTTTTATTCTTGATGCATTTACTAAGCATCTAGCACTCGAATCACTACAACGTCGTCAATTGATTCCAAACTGCCTTTATTACCGTCTCTGTGAAACAGATGGTTGCGTGATATCTTCTAACCGTAGAGACGGAGAATAGATTAGTCCAGGTACAATATACCTGATCTCTTGTAAGACATATCATTACGAATAAATTGACGAAGCGGGATGACAACTTTGAGTTTGCATGAAAGAACACATAGATGATAGTGGATGGGGGCGAGTCAAAAATGTCGGTGTGCATCCTAAGAGTTTTTGGATTAATTTCGAAATCCGGTTTGATTAGAAAGGGATAGTGCTCGGATGTCACTAATGATGTGAAGCCTTACCATAGATTCTTCTTCTCTTTTGAGTAAAGCCATTGATTTCAGTGTGTGACAACATGTCGGTGACGTTTTTCATATAAGAAGTCAGACGGTAGATTTTTTGGAGGTAGGTTTGATAGATTTTCGATAGGTGGTTTTCCACTGATGTAGGAAGTGTCTACTGATCAAGCAATTGTGGTACAACATGATACTTTTGAGCACTGAGGAAGACAAAATTCCCAGAACATCAGCCATCTGGAATATACCAACCACGCACTAACTCCTAAAGAAGGGATAGTTTGTAAGATGGTTTGATACTCCATGGATACTCAAACAGCTTTCTTAGCAAGTCACATGGATTCATGGAAACAACAGCATAACTTCCACAGTAGTAGCAATTTTCTGGCTGGGCAGGATTTTCTCAATCCAGAATCACGAGAGCCATGCTATGCATTTGAAGTAGGAAGAATATTATCGATATAAACAGTTCTTGATGATCTAGACCAGTGTACCTCTTTCAAAGAAGCACCGGGTGGAGCTTGGCTGACGATCCAGTCTAGCAGTAGATCCATTTTGTCGTCATCGATCTGAAAAGAAAGAATTTTGCCAAAGAAAAATAAAGAGTTATCAGTGCGCAGAGTACTTCCTAGCACGCACGGAATGCTCTCTACGCTCTGGCTTTTTTTTTCGTATCTTCTTCTTGTTGAACGTATGTTTACATCCCATAGGATTCGATGAATAATATATTGTGATTTTCCTCCGTTAACCGGGAAAAAAATGAAGAAACGACCCCTCTCTGTAGACAGAAGTTTTCATAGAATTTCAGCAATTATTCGAAGCTTAAATCCTTCGCTACAGCGCTACGTGGACCTTTTTCCAAAAGACCCTTTTACAACGCTGTAGCACACAGAATAAAATTATGTTTCACACCTGCCGCGCGTCCTCATTTTTATCACGCGTATGATATGCTGGAAGCAAGAAAAGCATATAAACGTGCAAAGAAAATCTCGTAATTTCTGAAGTCAATCGTTCTATCTGAGATTTTCCAAAACGAAGAAAATTTCCAATTGATTAACAAGGTGCACCTTACATGTCTTACGCGTTGGGAGGTCAATCGCTCCACCCTCAGCTCGTAGTTTAGCCGCTATACAAACGCGCTGACAAGTGAGACTCGATCTTATTTCTCCTATTACAGAGCAGTGAAACGGAGTTCCAGAAAGTAAAGACAGCTTGGTATCATCGAAATTGCGCTATCGAATGATTACTGATGGTGTAAAGAAAGAACTCTGTCCGGTGAGGGGAAAATATAAATTTTTTCTCTCTTCTACAGTTTATCAGAACTTTCTGAAAAAGCGAGCACATATCTGAGTTCATCGAGACTTGTGCTTTAGCAAGAGTACTGGCACTCTGGAGAAGGAGTTTCGTCCAGAGATATATAAGCGAGATAAGGAAAAAAATGCGTGGTCGCGTGAAACGTAATTTTGTTTTATATTTTACAACGTCATAAAATAGTGTCTTGAAAATCGGTCACGTAACGCTGTAGGCAGATATTTAAGCTTTCGAATAATTACTAATATTCTTGTGAAAAGTCCTTGTTCAGTAAAGGAGGCGAATATTCATTTGTTCCCGGATAACAGAAAAGATCCTATTGTGTAATAACTTTCATTTCTTTACTCACAACTCGTTCCTCACTTCTATAGCTAGCTATATCCCTTAGGCATGATAAGATAATGCGACATATCCCCTTGAGACCCACTCCAGTCGTAAGGAGCTTCGTTCCATTTGCTTAAGTGCTGTTCAGTGCTCCGTCTTTCTTCCTTATTTTACGAAAAACACTTTGAATGTTAAACCATCAACATAACCATTATTCGTATGATGACTCTTTCGCGTTTATAACAATAATTTGCCAATCCATTTAAGAACGATTAACATGTAGAATCTAACCAATGTTCCAATGTTATTTCCTCTCACCGCGGTTGTACATATTCTTCTGAGGATATGATATTGTTGAAGTGGACTCATTCTTGCTCCATTACTACTATTATGTTGTTGCTAGTCTTATGAGGATTTAATTACGAAAGTTTGACGTTAAAACTGTAGCATTAGCGATAATCTCGCATTTCGCGACATAGGAAAGGAAGCAGAGCCTACACAGACTAGCCAACACGTTGAGAATGCTTCGTAGAGCTCGATAAAAGTCAGTCATCACGACTTCCAAAGGACATCATATTTTACAAGCTACTTATTGAATTTAACACCAGATATTAATGGGTTCTCTCCAACAGCACTAGTCTGGTAGAAGGTATTTTCAAGTGGGTAGAGTAGACAAAGAAATCACTTACCAAATCTTCAAAAGTTTCGAATCCTTTGTTTAGGTCGAAATACACCGCACCACCATCAGCTAGTGCATCATCATATAAATATTTAGCACCTTCTCGACCCGGTACCACACGTCGATCTCGGGTCATCTGATAAGAAATCAGTTTCTTGTTGAAGTACGACCGTCATTGAAAATCTGATTACTAATATAGTCTATTTTCAAATCCATGGCTTTTTACTAACCAGCTGCAATTACTTAAGCCCTTCAGAATATGTAAAAAATACACTCACTTCACAGCTTGCTATGGACAAAAACAGTTTGTAAATGGGGCAGTTAGTCAGGTTTTCGAAACACTGAAATAAGATAGAATACCTTAAACTCTCCAATGACCTCCGGATGCGGAAACCTCGGGAAAGGTTGGTTATTGGAAAGCACATCTACAGGCACTTTTATGACACTTTGATCCATTTATGCTGCTATGAGCTGAAATATCACGTGAATAAATTGAACGAAGACTATTTTCAAAAAAGCTATGAAACCGCAGTTCCGCAATAATTTCGTTTACAGCAAAAAAATCACATTACAGAAGCAACTACTCAGTATTTATCACAGGATATCGAACTAATTTACCGCATTTTCGCCATACATGCATACATCGTAGAGTATAATCTAGCAGTTCTTTGTATATTATACTACTAAGTAATAAAGTTTGATGGTACAATTTCCTTACGAAAGGCATAGGAGAAAGATATGATGTTCAGCGAATCCCTGAGCGAGTAGGATGCACTGGGCTACTCCTGTGCGCGACAGGCAAAAATGGAAGTGTTGCTGGTACCAGCCCGAATCACTTGATGATCGACGGGACGACAGGTAATACAGGTGAAGTAATAAAATCATTCACTCAGATATAATCCAGTAAGTCGTCTAGTCTTGGCCCTCCAGTCAACACTTTTATTGAAACTGCTTATTTCGAGTGTTTTATGAAGACCACGCCCAGACCACTATTTTTAATTTTAAGGAGACAGAAAAGGTTATATAAAGCTAAGCTGAATCTCTCGGCGTTAATCAATTCCTGAGGGATACGTCATGCATTCGTTTTCAATTTTTGACTTCGTTTAAGGTGAGTGAACAATATCTGGCCTTTACAGTGACTCGCAGTGGCCTCCTGCTGTACCGAGTCAGTGCTGCTTATCTTCCCCGGCAAGTCTGAGACCAGTCTGATATCAATTTATCGACACCGGAGGGATGAGTGGCTTAATGGACCATGAGCGCGTGGTCGAACCACTGATCTCGTGTGCGACGCAGAGCACCTCTTACCACTGCGCCACTTGCGCGAAAGGTTGTATAAGATTATGAATAATCGATGAAATACACAGAACAACATCAAGAACGTTGACAACCATTCAAGGAGTAGTCTTTGAAGGCAACACACTGATCGTCGAGCTCGATGTAAATGCCTTTACATTGCCAAAAAAGCAATCCACAGCTGTATCGATGTCAAGACATTTAGTATAAATTAATGCTCGCCATTTGAAATTCAAAATTGACCGAAATGCACTTCACTAACTTTTATAGGCTTGAGTCACTTGCTATTTGCAGACAAATCTCATAACCACCATTTATGAAAAGTCTGATTTTTCACATGTCTACTTAAAAAGAGAGCAAAGCGTTAACACTATGCGATACTCGAACCCGCAATTCACCCTTTCCGCAGTCGCGTGCACCACCAACTGCACTGCCGATGCCTGTTGTGCCATCACTCTTTCAACGCTACAGCGTATTGATCTGTCAGTAACCAACCGTCAACCGTCAACGATTTGACCTGATCAGCTGTATCGGCATTGATCCCAGTTACGCTGACAGATATTGGGTATTGTTAGATCAGACAGAATTCCCTCTTACTTGACCGCTTCTAGCGGTGGTATGATGTTACACATGTACCCAATGATGAAGAGTGATGTGCAGGACTTTGACGTCAGGCGAGACTCTAACTCGCATTTCACCTTTTCCGGAGGCGCGTGCTCAGCTAATTGCACTACCGACGTCCGTTTTGCCGCCACTCTTTTCAGAGTCTAATGTAGATTACAATGGAATAATTTTTCAGGATACTCACACGTAAACTAGTAATGAAACAAAAGGAAAGATTCTGGAGGGAGTTGAAAGTTAGACTACAAGTTCGATGAACTCGATTATACTCTTTTGAGGAAAACGTTAGTCCATAGGATGGCAAGAAGTACACTTGACAACGCTCGAAAGGAAATTCATAGCAAATTGAAAGAACAATATCATGGTTTTATGTAAACGAGATGGTAACACTATGCAGATCAAAAAATTCTATCACTTATTCTACCCGTCTCACAATTTCCTTCCTTTCTTTCATTAAAAGGATCCCAACACTTCTAGCACGCAGTTCGTTTTTCCCAATCTTCTTGAACGTTGTAGAATAATGGTTTAGCACGTCTCTTTGCAATCTCGAGAATAGACTGGCTCTGGGATTTGCGCAAAGTGTTCTTTGTTGACTGCCAGAGAGTATTGCAGGATGTGGGTCGGCCCCACGTGCTCCGCAGCGAGCATCACAATCACTCAGCCACAGCCGATGAGGCGCAACATGCACAGAAACATTTTGTAAAACCTCATGGGAGCATGATTATTTAACTCTGTTCTCTTCCACGTCCACGCTCTTCGACTCTCCACTCATATTCGTTGCTAAACGAATGATCAAGAAAAATGCAATGCAGCACCTGCTTGATGGACCACTTAAGTGTAGAACAAAGCCGACAAAACTGATTTGCTCAATACCAACCTGACATATTCGGACACTGCATTTTTTCGCTTGATTCTAGCGCAATTCCAGTGCAGCTGTCTCAGTGCATATTTTCCTGCGGGACCAAGAAAAGAAACTTACAGTGAACTAGTTCTTCCTGTTCCTATCTTCAGCACCTGGGAAAAGAAAGCCGAAAAAAAAAGAAATTACAGATTAGAAAAATGCAAATTTAGAGGGCGAAACTCAAAGAAACATTCAGTTGTGCATGAACTTTATACCGTGTATGCCTTTCTGAGCGAGTTAAGATAGTGGAATTGTATTCATATAGAAAAGTATACCTGTACACTTAAGTCGGACAATGTAGCATTCAGTTGCAATGCACAAGTCGAAAACATCAGCTTAAGTAAAAAAAAAACCGGAAAATCCTGTCGGTTTTAGAAGGTATGGTACTGAATTACATCCTTGTCCATTTTCACCCAATTTTTCAAGAAATTTCACAAATCTGTAACTACTCAGACACAACCAGTTATTCCCTCGAGTTAGATAAGTAAGCAGCATTCTAAGCCTTTACCATACATCAAGTCTAGAAGAGAATCCTTTTGACTTGTAATCAGCAATTATTGGAAAACTCGTTCCGTTAGCAGTTTGGTGTACGAGAAAACAACGATTTCGCAACATACTAGAACACTTGCTCGCTCAACCCTTTCCGGATGATGAAGGTCAATTTGATCCTGACTTTTCAGAGGCCTTGCTTCTTCGCTGGACAAAGCTTTCTATTCGAATTTCACTAGTTTGTCGAAAGCTTAACTCATGAAAATTTCAATATGATGTTTGTTCTTGGAAAGGCTTTCCTAGTGCGCTGTAAGAGCAAAAATAAAGTTTAAAAAAAACCACTCAAACATTAGAATATTATTCAGTTTACCAGCCATGAACGACCGAATCTTAATCACTGTAGTGTAAGGTGATCTTTTCACTTTACAAGCAGAGTCACTAATTCGGCGTCGATTCCTTATGTAGAGTGTGTACTCCCCTACAAGGGATTGGCTGAACCAAATGGCACCATGCGACTAATGAGGCCAGAAGGCTCAAACGTACGTCTAGCACTAGAAGTGCCATAACAAACCTCATGAAATATTCAAAATATGCTGTCAAGACAAAATTATGCTCCACACTCAGTTTGTTTTCCTTAGTTAATCGGCAAATTGCGAAAACTTCGTAGCAAATTAGGTTTTTGAGAAAGTCTTTATGGCTCATTGTATGTGTAAAAATAAAATTACATTTCACATTCGGTGTTCTCTTCGCAAATAAGGATTTTACGAGTATAAAAAGTATGTAAGCGTGCGAGAAAAAACCATGTTTCATGTTACGAATGCGAAGAACCTGAAATATTTTTCCAGAACAAAGAAAAATTTTTCTAAATAACGAAAATCGCACACCGCGTGCGATATCGCTTATGCCGTTGCCCAGAAAGGGTTAATAAGCAGGCGTTGTTACCTTCCTAACGATTTACATTACCTCATTACAAATCAAGACTAAGGTGGCTTTATTATGCTTCTGTATAGCTAATAATTCGAAATTATAGTATTTATACTGCTTTTTTCGCATTGTTACGATGTTTTCTATATACCTAAGAGAATTGAGTGGTGAACAAAAACGCGGCCTCAGGTGGGAATCGAACCCGCGTTTCATTCTATCCGGGCACGCGTGCTCTACCACTACACCACTGAGGCACATTTGCCCGACCACTCATTCTTCAACATCTCTAAGTTTAGCTATCAGCCACCAACCTTTAACAGGTTTGGTCGGATATGCGATTTCGCTTGATAAATCCCATTCAGCTGACAGCCACTGTTATATCTAATAATTCGAAATTATAGTATTTATACTGCTTTTTTCGCAGTGTTATGATGTTACTTACATAACTAAGAGAATTGAGTGATGAACAAAAACACAGCCTCAGGCGGGAATCGAACCCACGTTTCATCCTATCCTGGGACGCGTGCTCTACCACTACACCACTGAGGTGTTTTTGTTCACCACTCAATTCTCTTACTTCTGTATAGCTCCGATACATTAGCGACGAAACTGAACTTCCGCAACCACCTGATGTTATGCTCGTTGCTCGAGCAGCAGAGAATATCTGGCATTGGCCAACATGAGAATTTTTAGTGTTTCAAATGAGTCAACAAAACAAAACTCATTAAAGACGGCAATCTAATAGAATCCTAGGTTAGCATTAATTTCTAATTGTCAGTTGACACCGACTACGAAAGGCGGATCAAGTTATTGAAAAGAACTACGATAAGACACACTTTGATTATATATCCTACTATAAAATACGAGGAAAAAAGCGTAAATGCTGAGCAAGCACAGTCTCAACTCATTGTGAAACTGAAGGCATTTATCACATCGATGTTAGTTTGTTGCTGTTGCTTCGCGTACGGGCTAAGTGCCCAGCAAAGAACGAAATAACTCGTCCAACGAACAATCTCTTGCAGATCGAGAGCGAAAGAAAAGGAATAGAGCTCATATTATTAATTAACCTTAATATAGCTATTTGTAACAACTTATGGCGGCCCGCCAATGTGTCAAATCAGTACTGGTCTCCTGTCAGAGAAGTCTGATAGCAATTTGCCGATTTTGAATGTTAAGAAGTCTTGGCGAGTTTGGGACGCGAGATCGAACGAATGATCACGAGTGTGTTACAAGATACCTTCAACCACTATGGCATTCATTCCCCAAAAACTATCATGTGTAAGAGGTATTCCTTCGCAACTAACGTCTGCAGTAGCACATATGATAGGGTCAGTTATCGATCAAATACCAATGGTTCGACAAAACCTAAGCGTAACAAAATAAACAACTGAGAAGAAAACAAGTCATATTTTATGGCGGATGCGGGCACGACAAACTAGATGAGAGCCTTCGTGTGCCCTAAGGGTTAAGTCAACGCTATAGCGCTAAACAGAGGAGCTAGTGAAGCAAAGAAGCTGTAACGCGCTCAGTCTTTTTCATGATATTTGCGGTGCTTCTCAATTAGTGAAAGTAAGAGTAGACCAGATAGTCTATGAGAACCACTAATTTCAGCTTTTATAGCAGCGTTCTAGTGTTACAATTATGTAACCGAGAATGCCAGATGACACGAAAAACTTGAAACCACAAGCGGGTGTTGAGCCTGCGTTTCACGTATATTATTGGGGCGCGTGCCACGTCTATACCACCAAAACCCCAAGGCTACCAGAATACATTCCTAATCTCCTCGCATTTTCTTCGAGGGTGAAAACATCACAGTCTGACCAACAAAAAGGTGAAATTAGAGAGTTATAACACCTTGAGCTTACTTCTTACACCTTTAAAACACGTTAAGAAGTGCCACCGTTCTTTTTGCGATACAAAAAATCGAAGCTTTAACAGTCAATCAAATAGTTTCCGTACAAAAAAAAGCATCTTATAAGTCATAGTACTTCATACATGCTTGAAATCTTTCGAATCTATTTAGAGACTGTGACATATGGGGGTAGATATTTATATAAAAATTGCACGATTTCCCACTTAGACAAGTTCGAATGCCGATAAAATTGTAGCAATAACGCCCAATTTACAAGCGCTACTGACTGTTCATGGTAGAGAATCATAAACAATAACAGGGCTATCATGGAATTTTATAGGAAAAGAAGTCCGATAGGCATTTGACATTTCCAAACAAAGGACATTACTACGTCTGAAAGGTAACGATATACTACTCACAGCACATCATGTGACCACTTCCTACTGTGTAAATACTGTAGTGGCTCCGGTCCTTGCTCGCTTTATGCCACGCGGGTCTTAATTCGGCTAACTCGGGGAGGAAAATTTAGCCTGAGGTATGGTTCGAGGTCACGCCTGATTACGAGGCACTCCTCTTTTCGGTTCATTTTCGGGCCTTTGCTATGTATCCAAAAGGATTCTAATGTTTTACGCGCAGAAGTTCTTATTTCTTATGGTCTTATTTCGTTCTGATATCCGATGTTAATGTGCGGAAACGTCAACTGATTATCAATTCAACCTAGTAGACAGCAATGAATAATCCCGATACGAATAATGAGTTCGTAGAAACGAACAAACGAAAAATGAGCTCCAATCAAACGACCAATCAGTTCGCACAAACGAACAACCTTTAGAAACAAATATTACAAAAGTAATACCCAAATTATATATAGTCAATTATACCGCAACGTTACACGGCGATTACACGATAGGAACCAATGTGCTCTAATGGGACACTCGATTGAAGTTCCAGAA